GAGATATAATGAAAGTATGTGTGGGGTGTGTGGAGTGACTGTTTTAATTGGCAGAGAGCCCTGCATTTGGCACTTTTGAGCCACAGTTGGTGGTATAGCTGGTGGCTCTTTTACATTCCCTCTCAATTCCAGTGGTTCCATTAGTCCCCGGCTTTCACTCTCCACTTCTCTTATAACCCGACTCATGGCACACGACTAACCGAGAAAAGCAGCAGGCAGTCTAAGTGATTTTAGTGGGCCCTGTAGTTGTATTCTTTCTCCAAAATAACTCATCATTTTATACCCTCTCAATTGGCGCAGCTAGAAAAAGAGGCGGTGTGTTTTCTGAAAAACTTGCATTCCCACCTATTCTTGATGCAGGGTGTGTTGGTCAGTTCGTCACACAGTTGTCAGTCACGTCATGCTGCAACGTTGCGTTGGTCTCTTTTCTGACCAAGCAGAACCCTTACCTGTCCATCACAGAGCTACGAGACCGAGGGGTGAGGAGTGTGGTAGAGGAACCTGGTCATCCAAATACTTTTGGGAGGAAACATAATTGCTACCCCGTTTATGTTCATCGATAAAGTTGACGAAAAGAACTACGGAGGTGTCATGAAAGCAGTCACAAAAATTATTTTTTATTCTTAAATTTTGATTTGAGGAGAGTCCCTTTGAGATGCACCGTCTCGTTTTCAAGGGTTCTCAGGCACAAAAACATGGAAATGAACTCACATTCAAACAAAAGATACATCTATAACAGGTCTCGCCAGTGAGGTTTGCCATTGGCATCCTTATGTAGTTGTAGAAATGGGAATGTGTTTATTAGTTTTAATAAGCCACACAACCTCCACTAATAACAACCTCAATATTTTGATATAACTGTAACTTATAAAGTTGATTTTGAGAATAACTTTCAGTATTAATGTTGTCAGCAAACTAAGGTTATCATGAGCTGAAATTCTATAATTTAGCTTTTTCCATTTCTTTCTGTTGTGCTAACATTGTCAGTTTGCTAATGACATTAGCATTGCAAGCTCACAATAGCTATCTTAGGCAAACTCATAAGGTTAGTTCACATAATTTGCTTACGTTATCTAACTTTTTAAGTTGCATTCATATTGAAATATTTATTGTTGTATCGTTTACCATAGTGTTGTTGGTGTATGGATGTATCGAATATACGCTCAGTAGGCTACTTTAATTGATTAATGATGAGACCCTGAGGCTAGCAATGGCTGTAATCGTCCTTTAATCAAACATGAATGCTCGCAAGTCAGAATAATGGACGTGTTTTCCGTTCTTCATGTCCTGCATTCCACGTGTTGTATAGTCTTGACTTTTAAATGATGTGGTTTTAGTTGAATATTGAAAAAATCACCGTCCCGTCTCATGTTTTAATTCGACCCTTGACGCTAACCTTAAGCAAGCTTTGCATTGCCAAAATAAAACAACAACAATGTTAATCGTGCTTTAGAAGCAAGGTAAGGATATTATAGAGAAACAAATAAAACATGTTGGCATTGAACATTTTGCACTTTCTGTAAAAAAAAAAAACTATTTGGCATTGAAGAGCTGACAGATACCGTATGGTCCAAAATGCAAATACAAAGTTAGTCTTACAATTATGTACTTGTATGTTTTATCAGTGGTGGGCCGTCAGGGCCAGCAAAGCCTTCTCTGCTGGCCTAGACAAAATCACAAAGTTATAGCTATTATATAATCGTTGGGGGGGGGGGGGGGGGGGGCCCCGGGAATTTTTTTTTTAATATGAGCTTTAAAATGCAGCATTCTGGTGTACTCTGAGAAGAAAATTAAGTGATAAGACATTTACTTTAAGCAAAAAACTAATTTATTATTCAGTTATTAATCAGTATTTCAGCTCTATTATTATTAACCTTTATTTAGACAAAATCCATTGAGACCGAGGTCTCATTTTCAAAACTGTTGGTCAAATAAAAACAAAGATAGCAAGAGTAGCGAGAACCATCGCCTGTACAAATAAAGTGATTAGTTTTCATTGAACCCTGTTACTGTATGGCTTCATATTAACTTATACTGTTACTGTAAAGCTGTTAGAACTGTGGCCTATCTTCTATTTGCAATTAATATGCATTCAATCCAGTTCAATTATTTAAATGAAAATGATAATCTACTCTGGCTAAGGTACCTTATCAAGAGTAAAATAATAGCTGTGATCTATACACTCCTCTGCATTGAGAGCAACTGCACGTGGGACTGTTGGGATTGTTAGTACACTGGCTGTGGTCATTACAGTGAACAGTGTGTACAGTGTGATGAGAGGACATGTGAGCCCTTGTTGCTGTACTTTAGCATACCCTGCCTTATCAATGTATTTAAAATACTGTGACAGCAGGAAGCTGTACTCACGTCTGTTTAGACCTCCACCTTTATCCAGGCCCAGCTCCACCTTTATCCAGGCCCAGCTCCACTCACGATCTCAGCCCTTCGTCAAGCTGCACTACAACCAGCCTCCTCTCCCTGAAGCTCTTTGACCTCATCATCTCATCAGTATCTGGGCCTCATGTTTCGTGGTCATGAAAGTTATTCTGACCACGAAATCATCCTTATTCTACTTTGTCAAAACAAACAACCTGCAACCAGATGCGCCGGTGTTCCGGTTTAACGTTAATGAGTGACCGCGTGAACTGAACCGGAACATCGCGATAATGACGAACGTTAACAGTCGACAAAGTTCCGCATGCAGTGGACGTTAACTTAACCCAGCAAGTCTGAACGGTGACGGAACATAACGGAACTGTAACGGAGGGAAATGAAGACGCTGTAGACATCTGAATGCTGATTGGCCAAGACTCGACACATCAAAGATGTTCTATAACAGGGGTGTCAAACTCATTTTCACTCCGGGCCACATCAGCATCATGGTTTCCCTCAAAGGGCCGGTTGTAACTGTAAGACTGTATAATTGTAAGTACTCCCTAACATATTGTTAAATAACTGTCTCTGCTTTTGATTATTGTTTATTCAAGTGTAAAAATATTGTACATGCAGTTATATAAATGTAAAATTATATTTAAGCACATTTCTGTTATTATAACATAAATCATTTTAATTTAGGTTTAAGAAACCCACATTACTCTATCAAAGATCAAACTTTTAAAGAAAATAACAAAGACAAATATCATCAAACACAAGTTATTACATTAACTTTGTTCAAAGCTATTTTTGTCACCTCTCTGCATCACTAATGTCCCCACCGTCGTCCCGTGCATGGCAGCTACATCCAAGAGCTCCTCACTGACAGTCAAGTCTGCCTTGAGCCTCTTACAAACATTGATAGATGATGTATCTCGTCTCTTAGCTAGCTGTGTTGTTAGATTGCCTGCTAGTTCCTGAACTCGGTCTGCGATGGTGTTTCTTCACAAACTGACATTTGTAAAAGTCTGTATCTGGTCGGAGCTCACCTGCTCATATACCTTTAGCATGCACTGGGCTGTAGCTTTTGTAAATATATTCTGCTGTGATTGCAGGCTGCCTTTTAATTCTTGGACAATTTTATGTTTTTCTTGGAGGCTAAATTTAGCTCCGTGTTTGGTGTCAAAATACCGACGTGAATTGTATCCTTCATCACCGACACGCATCATAACACAGAAGACAGACCCATTTTTCTCCTTGAAGCACAGACATGTATTCGCTTTCCCATCTTAAATTATATTTTCTTCCCTCTGCATCAATTGTTCTCTTCGTGGACATTTTGGGATTATTTTTCGATCTTTTTCAACTCAATCACTTGTTGGAAAACCGCTTTACGGGCTGTTCCCTCTCCTGTCCACCTGTTGTGATAGTTTTAATGTCGGTACACAGACAACATGCTATCTCATAATTTCAACTTTCTATCTCATAATTTCGACCATGGGGATATTTTTATTTTCAAGTCTAACTTAATTTTTTTTTCCAAAATTAAAAAAAAAGAAAAACTTTTTTTTTTTTTTTTTTTTTTGCTGGTGGATTCGCGGGCCACATAAAATGATGTGGCTGGCCTTGAGTTTAACACGTGTGTTCTAAAAGATCACGACATCACCTTTTCTCCTCGTCTCACTCCAATCTGAGAAACGCTGGCTGGCCAGTTGACCCCCCCCCCCCCCGAAAAAAACTCTACGGATCTACATGATTCACGTGGATGATATATTTTTGATTCAAAACGGTGAATTTCACCGAAAAGTGACAAGTTTGCAGGTATGCATAGTCTTCAACCAATCAGATCTTTAGTTTGACATGTTGGGTGTACTCTTTGACATGTCTGGTGTATTCTTTGACATGTCAGAGCCTTCTAGCTGGCCTACAAGTACGTCAGCATTAACGTGCGGCTTGATTGGTCAGTGGGCTAGCGTCACTGTTGTGAAACTAGCTAGCAGAACTTTGTAGTAGTAAGAGTTCAAGTTTAAAGTTATGTAACATGTTTTTTCATGACATTACATTTTTTTGCGTTTTGACATGTTGGGCGGTGACAATCCCAACATTGCTGCCTCTGTCGAGCGGACATTTCCTGCCCTCAAACGCATTAAAACGTATTCAAGAAATACAACTGGGGAGGCTCAACTGTCTTCACTGGCGTCCATGAATCTAGAAGGACTTCTAACTGGAACTAAAACGCACGGATGTACTGAACAACCGTGAGATTAAACTCTTTGTCAACAAAGAAAGGAGGATGGACTTTGTCTTTAAATAGTGAAGAGCAGCTTTGGTAAGTGAAGTGCTTTTGTTTTTTACATCTGTAGTAGCTTTACTACTGTGTTAATTTTTCTATGGTGTCGTTTTTATGATATGGTTAATGTTGTTCCCTCTGATGTGAATAATATTTTAATGGTGCTCTTCAGTGTGTGGCAGAATGCGTGTTTTAGCGCCGCAGGTTTGCTGGAATGTGCAGAGGCCTGTTTATTTCACTTGTCAAATGTTGCAGTGTTATGTGAATATTCGGTTTTTACACAAAACAAATAATAACAGTAGCTGTGGCGTCATAATGAGGTCATTAGGAGGTGGTTCAACCGTAGTAGGACAGCACTGAAGGCCCGGGTATAAAATGCACGGCCCGCCACTGTGGTTTATGTTTAGGAGACAGTGATGGGTAGAGAAGGGGAGGAATAGGAAATGCGGAAAAAGAAGTAAAAACAAATATTGGGAAATGGGGGAGGGCAGACGTCAGAGACAGAGGAGGGAAGGAAGAACAAGGCAGAGGAGCTTGGGACGTAAAGAAACTGTCCTCCCAACATTCCCTCTTACAAGCTATCGTTTTGCTTTGAAGTGCAAACATTGCTGTAGAGTGAATGAAAAAAGCCTCAGTAACTGGGGAAGTTTAGTGCCAACTAGACATTGAAGACACTGCTGTTGAAATGTTTTAAGTCTGACATTCATATTTTATTATATTGGCTTTGCTCTCACACCCGGCTAACAGGCGAGCAGTCGGTCCACAGGGCTTCAGCACAAACATTACAACATAGAGGCGTTGTCACTCATCTTCTTCAGGCCCGTCTGCTCTCTTGAGAACCGAGTGCTACTGAGATGTACAGAACATCTTCATAGTAAAGTCAAGGCAGCTAGCTCAGTACAGTACTCTGTGCTGATCCTCCTCTGAGTCATTAAACTCAACCTCTTTATATACTGCATCTCCATCTACTTTAGGCAGCCTTGGAGCTCCTGCAGGAGTGAGGATGTTAATTACTGTGAGGTTAAATATGTGGCTCTGTAACCAAAGTGGAGAAAGATCAGAAAACAGGTGAAAAGATACCAGCTCTTTGTCATCCTCCATCCTCTCCATAGACTTCAGAAGGATGCTGACGGCAAACGAGAGAGGAAGAGATCCAGAGATCCAGAGAGAGATGAGGAGCTGAAGGTTGCACCATGTCTGTGTAATGTTATTCGACATACGAGTGGATTGCCTTTGTCAAACATGAATAGAATGCTTTTTCTTCAATTCAATCTGGATTCAAGAGTTCATTATTTAGCAACGCTGTTCCAGTTTCATACATTTATTATTTATTACCCTTGACTCATCTCTCCTATGCACTCCATATCTAATTATTTAATTGGCATACAAGATTTGTATCTTTGTATTCCCAGGAGAGCTCTCCACTAACTATTGCTTGTCAAATAGAATACACAGAGGAGGTTTTTCTTTTTTTCTTCATAGCCGTACTCTCTGTTTTTTCTATCAAATGTCTGTTGCCTTTCGTTAAAACGTCTAAATTCAGCTGTTTTTTGGTTTAATTGCAGGTACAATGTGGACACGAGGAGCTCTAACCTTTCAAAACATGTAAGCAGCCTTTGAGAAATTCTATTAATATGTTCCACAATGCACGGTGGTGTAGTGGCTAGCACTGTCACCTCACAGCAAGAGGGGCCCGGGTTCGATCTGTGTGGAGTTTGCACATTCTCCCCGTGGCAGCGTGGGTTCTCCCTCTCCATCTCCGGCTTCCTCCCATAGTCCAAAGACATGCAGCTTAGGTTATATGGAGACTCAAAATTGCCCGTAGGTGTGAATGTGAGCGTGAATGTTTGTCTGTCTCTACATGTGTCCTGCGATAAACTGGCGACCTGTCCAGGGTGTGCAGGTGAATGTCAGCTGGGATCGGCTCCAGCACCCCACGACCCTGAATAGGATAAGCGGTTTGGATAATGGAATGGAATGTTCCACAATGACATGTAAACTGGTATGGAGGCCTGAAACTACCAAGAGATGGTAAAAAAGAAAATTAAATGAGTCAGAAAGGTCCTGAATAAATAAAACTGTTAGTTGAATAATTGAAATCTAGTTTAAAAAGAAACAAAGCGTCACCGGTTTCCTTAACGTCCAATGCTTTTGTTAAAAAGTACTTATTTTCAGTTGATAAAATTAATTATTTTACTATAGTACTAAATTCTTACTAGCTTGGTTCATTGAAAACGTTGAACTCCAATATTTTGGTCTTAGTTAATTTCTGTTCCCTTCCCAGCCAAACATCTCCTATTTTCCTCACCACATTTCCAGTTTTCCTAATGCCTATATGATAATGAGGTGGGCGTGTCCATGTATGTTCAGGGCAGTGATTGGTTTAGGATATGTGTGTTTTTAGTAATGATTTATTAGTTGACCATTTCATTTAACTAAGTGTTTATTTATGTACTTAGTTATTTTTTGACTCATCTGAAAACCAAGTTTTTTTCAGTAATCAGAATTAAAATTAACTTAAATTAATTGAATTCAATTGAATTTCAAAAGAAAACCAACTTTGCCAGAGAACCAACAATATAGAAGCTATACATGAAATAAGTTTTGATTTAGATACAACATGCAGTGCCTGATTACAGCAATAATTAACGCTCCCCCCTTGAGAATTTATTTTTGATATCAACTTGAGATGTTTTTTATTGTGTCTTTTCAGCTTTTCCTCTAACTTGTGTCTGCCTTTTCTTACTGCCTACCTACCTGGACGAGCAGAAGGTAGGTTACCATCACGACTCCTTGTTATCTGCTGGACATCGTTAAACATGTTATGTTAGGTTTCAGCATTGGGTTAAACCAACCTTGTCTCCTACAAAATGACATTCCCGTAGAACTAAACAGCATTCTCGATTATGTTTCGAGAGAATTGTATCGTCTCCTGGATTAAAGTTCTGTACTGACTCACCAACCACCCTGACTTCCGCAGACTATGTGATATGTAAAAAAAGTTAACAAATAAAAAAACATAATGCATGTCAACACATTTCCCTTAAAAAGTAAATGCCTGATGACCTTTTATGGTGTTTCTACGACTGCTTAACTGGTTTGTATACGAATGAAGGGAGTTGCACTGTTCCGCAATGAAATAAATGTACACCAATCGTTGTTCAGTGCTTTGCAGTAATGGGAATGATGGACTGATGTTGAGTTGCATGTGTACACTTGGATTCAGTGGCAGTTTTAGTTGGAAAACAATGGATGGGGGCAATTTATACTTTGCTAAGATGCAATGCCAGAAAATGACATGTTTGCTTGAGATCCTGAAAGCCTGATCTTGACAAGGTACCATCCCCCCTAATAACACGCATCCTAGGAAGCATGAAAGCATGTTCCCTGACAAGTCAGCCATTTTCTCCTGGAGAACCACTTCACCGTAAATCTGATTCTTGTTTTTACCATTACACTACATTACAGCCATTTAGCAGACGCTTTTATCTAAAGCGACTTGGGTGTATTCAACATCGGTTTTCGAGAGAACAACTAGTCACCAGAAGTAATAAGTGCATGTCCTTTCCTCAAACAAGCATCTAAGAGCATAAACCAGAGCCAACATACAGTGCAGAAACAAACGAATGCAATAAGTGCCACAAACTAATATAAAAACAATAAGTGCAATAAGCTAGTATGAATACAATAGATGCTAAGTAAGTGCTAAGCGGAAGGGTAGGCCTTCTTGAAGAGGTGAGTTTTCAGCCTGCGCCGAAAGATGGGCAGCGACTCTGCCGTCCTGACGTCAGTGGGGAGTTCATTCCACCACTGTGGGGCCAGGACAGAAAACAGCCGCGACCGGGTCGATCGGCCGTAGGGACCTCCGAGCGACGGGGCCACCAGTCGCCCCGAGGTAGCAGAGCGAAGTGGTCGGGCCGGGGTGTAGGGCTTGACCATGGCCTGGAGATAGGAAGGAGCTGTTCATTTCACTGCCCTGTAGGCTAGCACCAGAGTCTTAAACTGGATGCGGGCTCTTACAGGTAGCCAGTGTAGAGAACGGAGAAGGCAAGTTGTGTGGGAGAACTTGGGGCGATTGAACACCAGGCGAGCTGCAGCTTTCTGGACAAGCTCCAGAGGTCTGATGGCCGACGCCGGGGCTCCGGCAAGTAGTGAGTTGCAGTAGTCCAGGCAGGAGATGACAAGAGCCTGGATTAGCACCTGCGCCGTCTCATCAGTGAGGAAGGGGCGAATCCTCCTGATGTTGTAGAGCAGGAATCTGCAGGAGTGTGTAACCGATGCAATGTTTGCTGAGAACGACAGTTGGTCATCCAGGGTCACACCCAGGTTTCTCGCAGTCCGAGTTGGTGTCACCACGGTATCATCAATGGTGATGGACAGGTCTCGGTGCGGGCAACCCTTCCCCGGGAGGAACAGTAGCTCGGTTTTGTCCAGCTTGAGCTTGAGGTGGTGTGTTGTCATCCACTTCGAGATGTCAGCCAAGCACGCAGCGATGCGTGCCTCCACTTGAGTGTCCCTGGGGGGAAATGACAAGACCAGCTGGGTGTCATCGGCATAACAATGGTAAGAGAAGTCATGCGAGCGAAAAACAGAACCCAGAGATGTTGTGTAGAGCGAGAAGAGAAGGGGGCCCAGGACTGAGCCTTGTGGAACCCCCGTAGTCAGCATGCGCGGTTCCGACACAGAGCCCCTCCATGACACCTGGTAGGATCGACCTGTCAGGTAGGATGCAAACAGGGAGAGTGCAGAGCCTGAAACGCCCATCCCCTCGAAGGTGGATAGGAGGATCTGGTGGTTAACAGTGTCAAACGCCGCAGACAGGTCCAGCAGAATCAGGACAGAGGAGAGAGAGTTAGATCTCGCTGCGTGAAGGGACTCCGTCACCGCAAGGAGGGCTGTCTCAGTCGAGTGACCCACTTTGAACCCGGACTGGTGAGGGTCCAAGAGGTTGTTTTGGTGGAGATAGGAGGATAGTTGAGTAAAGACAGCACGTTCAAGTGTTTTGGAAAGAAAGGGTAGAAGAGATACCGGTCTGAAGTTCTTGACATCAGAGGGGTCAAGTGATGGTTTCTTCAGAAGGGGGGTGACTCTAGCAGTCTTGAAAGCCGTGGGAAAGCATCCTGAAACAAGAGATGTGTTCATGAGGTGGGTGAGAAAAGGAAGGAGTTCAGTCGCAATAGACTGAAGAAGAGGGGAGGGGATCGGGTCAAGGGAGCACGTGGTGGGGCAGTTAGATGTAACAAGGTTGAGGACCTCGTTAGGGGAGAGGGGAGCAAGATAGGGTAAGCTGGGGCATGGAGAGGGGAGGGAGAGCTGTGGGGGAAGAGCTGGAGATGGTAGAGAGGGAGAGGGTGGACAGGGAGAGAGTGGACAGGGGGGCTGATAGAAGGAGGATCTGATATTGTTTACCTTCTTGTCAAAGAAGTTGGCGAAATCGTCAGGGAGAAGGGAGGAAGTAGGAGGAGGGGGTGGGGGTTGGAGGAGTGAAGAGAAAGTTTCGAAGAGTTTTTTAGGATTGGAAGCAGAGGTTAGGATTTTGGAGCGAAAGAAAGCAGCTTTAGCAGTAGATAGAGTGGTGGAAAAAGTGGAAGGAAGAGCTTGGAAGTTAAGAAGGTCCCCCGGGAGTTTGCCTTTTCTCCATTTACGCTGAGCCTCTCTTAGGCTCCGTCTGTCATTGCGCACTGAGTCCGACAGCCATGGGGCAGGTGGGGTTGGCCGTGCAGAGGGAGTAAGACATGAAATAGTGGTCAGAGAGCTGGAGGGGAGTGGCGGAGAGGTTAGCAGTAGAACAGTGTCGAGTGAAGATAAGATCCAGCTGGTTGCCGGCCTTGTGGGTAGGAGGAGAAGAGGCGGGGTAAAGGTCAAAAGAGGAGAGGAAGGAAAGAAACGGTTCTAATTTATCAGTCTGGATGTTAAAGTCTCCGAGCAGGATGAGTGCGGAGCCAACATCATGGAAGTGTGAGACTAATGTGTCGAGATCAAGAGGGCCTGGTGGGCGATACACAACAGCAATGGTGAGCTTGACTGGATAAGTGACAGTAACTGCATGAAATTCGAAAGAGGACGGGGAGAACTGAGGAACCGAGACAAGAGTGTATTTCCATTTTGGGGAAATTAGCAAGCCAGTACCACCACCCCGCCTCGCAGCTCTGGGAGTGTGAGAGAAAGAGTACACTTCTGACAGAGCTGCAGGTGTGGTGGTATTTTCTGGCGTGATCCAGGTCTCGGTTAGAGCAAGAAAGCTGAGAGAGAGCAAGGAAGCGTAGCCCGAGATAAACTCAGCTTTCGGCACTGCCGACTGGCAATTCCAGAGCCCCCCCGGTACCACTTGCTCAACATGAGCTGAGAGAGTAGGATAAATGAGGTTAGCGGGGTCACGGCACCTGGGAGTGGCCCAATGTCTACGTGACCACCGAGCAGAACAGAGGACCGAAATCGGATGCAAACACATGGTTTGAACAATAACAATGAGGTAACTACATGTTCGAGAAGTCTTAGCTTGACGAAGTCGGGCTTGAAAAAGTCGCCTTGTTGCCTTTGTTCGCCCTAGCCTTCCTTTGCCTGACGCTTCCAGCCTACAGAAGTGCTTAAGGACAGCAATCTACTGATTGTCTGCCAGGAGTGTAGGCTCCTCCCTTGCAATTAGCAAAGCTATTCAGCAGCTGAGACTAAATCACACCTCCTCAGACAGGCAGAAACTCAGTCCAATCACCACTGAGGCAAGCCTAAGTACAGCTATAAAGACAACTTAGTTAAAGCAAGAATAAAATACCTATCAGATTCTGGGTGAGTCAGAAGTTCAGTTCTTGCTCCAGAAGTTGAAAACAGTCTGAAGCAAAAGCTGAAACTGGACTTCCTATACCAGAGTTTTGGTTTATAACAATATCCCGGGGCTTTGCTGAATTGCCCCTATTGACCCATTGCCTCTAGCTTGACTGTATTGTGTAGTATTAACTACTGTTCCTCTCCTCTGTAAAGGACTTCTTGGGTCAGATGTTCTGTACGTTGGGGGAGATCATCGGCTCCACCGGTAGCAGGCTGGAAAGGACTCTCTCGTAAGTACAGCATTGACACAATGTGACCAGATATCAGAGAAGCGGGGCTTCTCTGTGAAGATTGTGCTGGACATCGATCTTTACAAAAAACATTCAAACACATCATTTCATACCTGCAAACTTGTCACTTTTCACCGTTTTGAATCAAAAATATATCATCCACGTGAATCGTGTAGATCCGTAATTTGTTTTTGGGGGGTCAACTGGCCAGCCAGCGTTTCTCAGATTGGAGTGAGACGAGGAGAAAAGGTGATGTCGTGATCTTCGCAATAGAACATCTTCGTCAGTGTTAAGATGTCTACAGCGTCTTTCCCTCCGTTAAAGTTTAAGTTCCATTATGTTCCGTTACAGTTCAGACTTGCTGGGTTAAGTTAACGTCCACAGCATGCAAAACTTTATCGACTGTTAACGTTCATCATTATCGCGATTTAGGAGGAAAAAACGTAACGTGATGAAACATGCAGCCCCCCCCCCCCCCCCCCCGTGTTCCAGTTCAGTTCACGCGGTCACTCGTTAATGTTAAACCCGAACACCGGCGGATCTGCTGCTGGCAGGTTGTTTTTTTTAACTCAAAGTAGAATGAGGCGATTTCGTGATCATAATAACGTTTAAGATAACGAGAAGTGAGGCCCAGATACTGATGAGATGATGAGGTCAAAGAGCTTAATGAAGAGGAGGCTGGTTGTGTAGCGCAGCTTGATGCAGGGCTGAGCTGTGAGTGGAGCTGGGCCTGGATAAAGGTGGAGGTCTAAACAGACGTGAGTACAGCTTCCTGCTGTCACAGTATTTTAAATACATTGATAAGGCAGGGTATGCTAAATGCAGCCTCTGCTCCAATGAGATAAACGACAGCAACAAGGGCTCACATGTCCTCTCATCACACTGTACACACTGTTCACTGTAATGACCACAGCCAGTGTACTAACAGTCCCAACAGTCCCACGTTGCTCTCAAGAACCCTGAAGTAATGAGAGGGTTAAGGTGCCTGTACCTTCATTTCAGCAGTTCGTAATGCAGAGGTGTGTATAGATCACAGCTATTATTTTACTCTTCATAAGGTACCTTAGCCAGAGTAGATTATCATTTTCATTTAAATAATTGAACTGGATTGAATGCATATTAATTGCAAATATAAGATAGGCCACAATTCTAACAGCTTTACAGTAACAGTGGAAGTTAATATGAAGACATACAGTAACAGGGTTCAATGAAAACTAATCACTTTATTTGTACAGGCGATGGGTCTCACTACTCTTGCTATCTTTGTTTTTATATGACTAAAACTTTTGAAAATGAGACCTCGGTCTCTATGGATTTTGTTTAAATAAAGGTTAATAATAATAATATAGATTTAAAAAAAAAAAGTAGCTAACTAGCCAGCTGTTCAACTAGAGCTGAAATACTGATTAATAACTGAATAAATTAGTTTTTTGCTTAAAGTAAATATTGTCCTATCACTTAATTTGATTCTTAGAGTACATAAAAATACTACAAGTTAGAGCTCATATTTAAAATAAAATTCTCGGAGCATGCACCCCCGACAGGGTTTCGGGCTTGTCACCTTTTTCACCTCTCGTGAGTTTGCAGGTATGTCATTTAATGTCATCCACAAAATGCAGAAACAAGCACCTTTTTGGTTATTGTAAATTCACAAATAATCATATGATTTGTATTAACATTCCCAACATTTGGTGTCAAATAAATCTTGTGGAATCCATGTAGTGAAACAGAGAGTGTTCAAGGGTCAAACTGGACAATTTCAAAATTCAAGGACTTGTTTTCAACAATGACAGCCGTTAGAAACAGCTCTGTGTGTTTGGTGATGGAGAAGTCTTCTGGAACACATCACTGTGTGATCACACCGTTTCCAGTTATCAGTCTGCTCAATATTTATTCATTGCCTACATTGGTCAGATTCCAATCAAAATCAAATTTGAATTTTATTTGTAGAATAAAACGTGTTCATACCTTGAAGGCCACGGCAAAACTGCATTGAAGGCCCACACAGCAATCACTTTCACATGTATTGGTACCATACTATTTTCAACATTCGCTCACAAGACGGGCACATCCCGCTACACAACTAGGCTTCTGCCGATTGGCTGTCGTTTTGTACATTGACAGTTGAAGGTATGACCGACAATTCGATTTTCCTACGCCGATATTAAGGCTAGTTTATTGAACTTACTACCAGAACTAAGACGTAGAAATAATCTAAAGAATCATTTCGAGATGTTTCTGGTGGAGCGGCGTGTCGACCTGCTGAGGTCCGTTAATCATTTAAGTGTCCTTGAGCGAGGCTTTTACCCTTGAACTGGAGCTCCTCCTCAGCCAGTACTGGAAAGATGTGGTTACACTGGGAAGCTCCCGAGCATAAATGTGGCCCACATGCTGAAGTATATACAGTATGAACCATCCTGGAGATATTAACCTAGCCCCCCCCCCCCCCCCCCCCCCCCCCCCCCCCCCCCCCCCCCC